GATTCGACTCGACAGAAAATTAGAAGTAAGATTAGAGAACTATAAAATTATTAAGCATCTTATTGATTAGCGTTTCTCTAAAAAATGACGAATTACTTGTTCTTTTAGTATTTGGAATCAGTTGAGATACATGCACGTATATGTTTTCAATTTATTGCGTAATTGTATTTATAAATGTCATGTATATGACATTGTTTAAAAAAAATAGGTTCAATGTCATAAGATTGGCCCCCACAAAGTTCTGACATTAACTCGAATATTTATGGGTTCACTTGAAGAAAGAAATCCATTAAGAACGCATTTTAAAACAAGATAAATTGCGATTATGGAAGAACGAGAACAAATAACGAAATTCACGAATAGAAAACTAGTGAAAAATTTACCAAAAAAAAAGAAAATTGCAAAAGTTATAGAGCAAAAGGGAAGCGTAATAATAAATCATTAAATATTGATAATTTATTAATAAATGAAGCAGTTGATAAACTTCGTTGTATTTATTTTAATCTACAGATTTGAAATTAAAAAATTTGTAAGGATGCCTTATAAATTTTATAATTTTAGACATGACTATGGCTTAGACGTGCAATTTGATTTATGCGTGTACTTCAACCGGTTACCATACGTAACTCTTTCGCATAATTATTTCGACGTGAAAAATAGCGCAATATAATTATTTGCACACGAGAAAGGGCTTGTTTAGCTGCACTTTCGGTTGATTTCCCATGACGTACGGAAATTGCTCAGGGAAAAATCGCACGTCAACCTTCATCTTTCGCGCAACTGTATGAGTCATAATTTTGTACTAAGCGAAGCCCATCTTTCCTCCAGTCCGCGCTGTGCAAATAGTGCACCGGGAGTTTCTAGCACCGCTGCGGTAGCGGCGGCTCTGAAACAATAATTAATTAGCTGCCTCACAAGGAAGAGCAAGGCACGGCGAGGAGAACGATGATCGCAGATGTTGCACGTCGGTAACGACGACCCGTAGAGATGTACAAGCATCCCCGCCGTTGCGGAAGTAAATTGCAGACGGATGCTGTTCTCTCTAATCGGGAGCTAGTCGGAAACATTTTCCAATCGTGCATTGATTAATAATTAATTTAACGGAGGTAACTAAATAACAAACGGTTGACTAATTGAGAGATAATCTCTATTTTTTGATTTACATGTTTTTGTTGCACATTGCAAACTGTACTGTGCTGTCCAATAAATTAATGGATACATTAGTGATTATACTACATAATGTTATTAAGGGGAATATTTTTTCATTAATAGTTGTATTATTCAATATTGGAACAATATATTCACTATTACAACGATTACACAGAAATTCCTGTTTGATATATTCAATAAGCGTATCAGAGAATATTCAGTAAGCGGATTAGAGAATATTCTGATTTTGTGAGCTCAATATATTGTCGTACACACTTAATTTTTCGATTACAATTTTTTTAATATTTATTATTTAAAAATTGATACGCATTACAATTCGTTTGAAATTCTTCAAAATTTCTGTCAATATTCTTTAATTGAGTATTCTAAATGGAACGAAATAAATCATTATTATAACATATATTGTATTAACATCATTGATTTTGATGTACGCTGTAATTTTTTAAGAATGATGTTGTTTGATTTCAAAACAATCCTTAGCAAAACAGGGGGAAGCTTCTCGTTAAGGAAACGACCACGTGGTCCTTGGCGAGAAGCCACCTCGAGATCCCTTTCTTCCACGACACAGTCGGTGCTCGATCGATGTTGACGACCAGACCAATCGACCATTAAGTATATCCCAGGTCGCGCGCAAAAAGACCACGGTAGGCAATCAATCTTCCATACGTCGAAGTCTTGTAGACGCTACCTCGCGTCTCTCGTGACGACGTGGAGGAAAACAGGAGGTGATGTCCGGAGGTGCGGAAGAAACGTTGCGGGACGAGCGAGAACCTGAAGCGTCGTCGCCGCAAAAAGTCGCGTCAGTCCTCGACGATAGAGGAGAGACTGCTCGGAAGCGGGTCTAGCCGTCAGAGAGGAAACGACTCTTGCTCTCCGGCAATTCGCAACTAATCGAGTAACATCGATTTGTCTTTCGGTTCGTCAAACGTCGAGGCGTTACGGCAATTTAACGGGTTCTATATCTGTGATTTCAGGTAGCAGCGAGGAATCGAGGGCCGGTGGCGGTGATCCTGGGAAGCTGGGAGTGAAGAAATCGAGACTGAAGGCCTCCTCGCCGAACAGGCAGGGACCACAGCAGTGTCAGGTGAGCGAAGACGAAGACGCGAGAAGATCAGTCGTTTCGAGAGAAATTCAATTCTTGCAAATAACATTAGTCTCACGGCCAATCAGAATATAATGAAATCAAGATAAAGAAGTTTTTCTAGCTTACAGATAATCCAACAGCTTTTACAACAGCGATAAATTTATCAAAATTGTAGGATTGTTCAGTTTTGTCTCCTTATAAATTTTATTTTTTCGATAAGTATAATTATCATGTTATTTGCTATGATCTAAATATATTATTTAGTTAAGCAGGTACATCAATAATTTTGATGGAATGATATTGGCATTTGTTATGTGATCTGTAACAGATGAGCGAGATAGATTGTCATTTCATTCAAATTGGCTCTTCCGCAACGCGATAGTAGTACGATTGCTCATATATGCATATCAAGAATATTTATGCAACTATCAATCAGAATATCCGGCGACACCGCGTCAATCGCGCTTTATAGTAGCCGTGCGTCCTTCGATAAGATATTTTTACGTAATGAAATTTGTTTAACAATTATTTGCTTAACAATAATTTTAAACTCCCAGAGTTTGGAGGCTGTTCGCAATTTTTTATTCTAAATGGGCTGTCTCTTACTCGGTAGAAAAAAAAAATTACGTTTCATTGTCAATAATTATCACGCATGTGAACCTTCATTTTACCTGAATAAAATTACTCAGATAGTCTTAATTATATTACTGGCATGTGTCGGAAATATTATTTTTGAATATTCTCTTATGTACATATACACGCATAGCTTGTTTAAATTACGTGTATGCATAATGTAGCTACGTTCTTGCAGCTACATTGCGGTTTTTTTTTTTACCAGTATGTTTTAATTAAATGTGGAATCACTTGCGAAAATAACAAAAATGTACCGCGGCCAGTAAACGTAAACTGACATTAGATAATTGTCTCTGTCAATTGATTTAAAGTTTGCTGAAATAAAGTACTCGACTACGTGCGCGAATCGAAAGTTGGTCCGCGGTTCAAACCGATAATTGCGCAGTTCTTTAATTACTCGTGCATCGCGAAATTGTATAACTACTTTTTATAGTCTATTTTTTCATATCTGTTATACAATTTCGCGTTGTACTATACAGACCACGAGCTATGTTTTGTTTAACCGGTTCTCTGAAACCGGTTTTTCCTCCCGCTGTGCTGCATTTTAACAGTTAGTTTCCTTTCGAGAGCACGCAGCGACAAAGAGCATTTTCACGGGGAAGAACGAGGAGACGGTTCGTTAGCGAGCGATCGAGTTAGACGACCACGATCGATGACCACGGGGGTGTGCTCGAAAACCGTAGCGCGAGGCCACAAAATTCGTGCTAACCCGCCCCATTCTACCCCTGTGTGTCTGCCCCCTTTCCGTCCCTTTCGCCCGCAGCCGGAACGAGTCGAAATGGCGCCGTCGAACGCTAACGATGCTGACCCACTTTCCGCACCGCGCCGGCGCGCTTCTTGCGGAAAGCTACCCCGACGTGCGGGGATGCGCTTTCGCATCCGTGACGTGCAATCCGGACGAGTTTTCGTACGCACGCGGCATTTTTACGACGGCCCTTCGAGTCCGTTTTATCACGGACACCCGCGTATATTACGTCTGCGTGTTGCCTTCAGACAACTTTTTTATGATATAGCTATTTCCCATTTCAACTTGAAGCGCGACGAATTAAATGCAGGCTCCGACGCTAAGCATGAAGCACATCCTGAGTTTATTATTACTACTGTTACAGCACTCTCTTTTTATTCGCGAATCGTCATTTGATATTTTTTTATTTTCTCGGATTCATGCAGCATTAATTTAAATTAGCAAAATAGAGAAGAAATTAGACGTTTCAACTTTTTCCTCGTCTTGATTTTCAGCAATTTAGATTAAAAGTACACAAAAAAGGGACAAATTTCATTGATTCATATATCGTCTTCTTTCCATTCGTTCTGTACGATATTCTTTCCGCATATATCGCACAGGACTGTAACTACTCTGTACTATACCTACGTGTAAAATGGAAATGAACTTTAATCGGCCGACTCCGAACTGACGATGACGTGACTGTAATTTATTTCAACGTGACGACAGGTCGAAATGGCAGCGCTAGCCTTGATTTCAGCACGGCTCAATTTCCTTCTTCCGAGCCCCAGCCCTCTCTCGTCGTGACCCACATTAAGACGCAACGGTCTCGGCGCTAAAGTGCCAGGCGGTTGTCGGAGCTGTTTATACACGCGGTACACGCTCGCGCGGCTCGTGCAAGCACGGGCCGTCGTCGTGGCCGTGTGCCGTGTGTAGAAAGGCTGTTGAATATTCAGGCGACGCCGGCGCGAGCCTCGAGCAGGCAGAGCAAACACGACGGCACCCCGATGTAACACACGAACGCAATACTCCCCCGCGCATTCCCCGCGTTTGTCGTCAGTACATTCGACCGATTTAGGCGTACCTCGTAGTGGTGGTGGTGGTGGTGGTGATGGTGGTGGTGGTTGTATTTTAGGAGTTAACCCTTTCAGAACCCACCACCTTCACTGATTGATCTGCTTTCCTCTCCCGCCGTACACATCGTAACGGGATCTACACACGCTCCGAACTTTTGACTGAGCAAAACCACTTTGCTCCTCGAGTCTGTAGATTTGTATTCTCGTTGCAAGTTTAGCAGTCGGATATGTTGGCCCCGATTCTTGAAATCTTATTTACTTGGTATATTTAATCTCGTAGTAAGACGAGAATTATCAGACAGGCGTCTTTAGATGCCTCGTGATGAGAATACGCGCCGTATTATTTAAGGGAAGGAAACTCTCCTACAGATCCGCTGTCTTTGCGACTGATCCTACGCTTCTATCTCTCCTTCGTCCCTGCTCTCTTCTGTAAAGTATCATACATTATACTCTCTCTCTCTCTCTCTCTCTCTCTCTCTCTCTCTCTCGTTTCCACGTAGCATCCCTCCTTGTCGCACGCGCTTTTTGCTCTTTCATCCTCGCTACTCGTTCTCCTTCATCTCTGCCACTTCCTCTTTCGTCCCCTTTGACCCGTACTCTCTCGTCGTTTCGTCTCTTCTCTTTCTCCCGCATACGGCCCGGCCAGCCCCTCGTTCTGGTGTGCCTTGTTACGTAATTAAATGACGGTTCGCCTGACTTGTTGACAAGCCTTGTCGATGTATCGAGTTAGCGACGAATTAAGCCCGTCCGCCTTGGCTCGATTATGGCTCTCGGATATCGCCGCGATCCAAAGGGGGTGGTACTCGAATGAGAGAGAAAGAGAGAGGAAGCAAAGAAGGGAAACAGCGAGCGAGCGAGAGAGAGAGAGAGAGAGAGAGGTAGAGGTAGAGGTAGAGAAGGCTAGCGGCCTTTGCAGCAGCGTCCGACGTGACGCTCGGCTGTCTCGCCGGAAATTGATCGTTATTCATTACAGGACGCCCGTGGAATTTTCCTCGTCACGGCGGGCTCTGTACCGCCATAATTTATGCGCCAATTATCGCGCACGGCATTATGCGCGAGACGGTCGATTAATGTCGCGCGACGCGAGATAAAGTTTTTTAATGCACCCTTATGATCGCTCGCAATGCATCAACGATTTCCATTTAGAGCCCCGCTGCGTGGCGTAGCCCGGTCTCTCTCATAGATGCCATCATCTCTAACACTGGACGCAGCATCGGGGTGCGTGCTAATTAATAATTCAAACGCAACGCGTCGGGCGTTTTATACCTGTATAACGACATGGCAGATTGCGAATATGATGGTATTGAAAGTTTGAAAATCTGCGGGATGAAGAAGAATAATGCATGTGATTATTAATCGTTTTGCTTGTGTAGCGTTTTATGCTGAAAATAATTTGCGGCAAATGTGAACGCGTTTACATCGATTTAATAAAACCGAAGTCTTGTTAAGTTTTATATGAGAATTTAATTTTCTACTGCAGCTATGTATATATCATCGAGGGAGCTATTGTTGTTGCAATTATTTAATCCGCACTTGTGTAAATGTAAAAACGATGCTTTTCACGAGGACGATGGAATCGCCGATGTACTCGGCGATCGATCGATTTTTCGCTTCGTCAACTGTACATTAAATCATTAATTAATCAGACCAGGCGGTACACACATCACAGAAAGTCAGAAAACTTCCACGCTAATTTTAATAAGCCAATGGACTTTTTTTTTTCTGAAAAATGTAAATGGAATGAGTGACACACTATAATCTAAAAACGCGCGCACGCATGAGATATTATACAACGGTATTATCTTTATTAATCCGGACAATATTAAATGACTTCTTTATCATCCTCGCGTTGATTAAACCACTGTTCTTCTTTCCGATTTAACACTATCGTTTAGTTAGATTACTCTCGCTTTTTATCCTTTCATCTTGTTATCTTTCCGCGACATCGCTACGAAATGATCTTGCAATCTGATTGTCACGGACATTACATTTTTGGTTGAGAGACTTTGAGAAAACGGGCCAACGTATAATCCCCAAATTCGTGCAAACACATGTGCATGTACTATGCTGACATACGTGACCGTTATTCTGGATATCTATGTACTCCCAACATTCGCGGTGACACGAGCTGTTAATTAAGCCGACTTCAACCCAAGTTGTTGGTAGATCTACGTGCAGCTTCAGCCCATTATGTCGTAGTTTCTACTCCAGTCCGTTGCTCTTGTTGTCGATGATGCTCTTTACCATTCCGTTACATTTTGTACATCTTTAGTTGCGACAAAGGGACTAGACTTCGTTTCACGTCTGACAAAAACTATTTGTTACTACTGTGCGTATCGTGAACTCGTGCGAAGAAATTATTCTCATTTATTTTGGATATATTAGAAACGTATTATTAATCACATCACATTTGGTGTAAAAGCAAACAAGTTTGAATTAGTTTATTTTTAGTTTGTTGACTTAAGGAATTTCGTAATTTATTCTAAAATTACGAGCTTCCAAAGCTCGACGATTTCAGTTTCTTTTTGAAGGAGGTTGATAATCTTTCTTTCTCTCTCTTGCTTGCG